CAACAGAGGGGATTTTTTGAGTGGGTAAAAATAGTTTTTGGACTAAATTCAGGCTAATTAAATTTTGTTCAGCTCCGGAATCTATCAAGGCTTTGACAGGAAGGCGGTTCTGATTGATCTGAATGAGTGTGGGTAACATGAGTCTGCTGGAGGGAGAAAAAGAGGAAGAACCCACCAATATCTCCCTTATTGACGGGCGGTCTCGTTTCCCCGGAAAGGACAGTTGGCTATATAGTGATTGGGGTTGCCACAATAAATGCATTAATTTGTATCACAACGTCTTTGTTTCTCCTCTGTAGACAGACGAGTTCGACCTATCTGCATAGGTTCGGGCTCCGGAGGTTCAGAGAAACGTCTGGTCGAAACTGCAGGTTGACTGGGAGGCGAGCCTGGAAATGAGTCTCCCTGGGACTTGTAGTTTCCCAGTGGTGTTCGGTGTAAACGAGGCTCACCTGAAGGCATCGCGGAACCGGAAGTGGTGAAGCGGTGGGAATTGTAGTTCCTTTCTCTTCGCCGTTCCCGGAAGCGCTCGTCTAGAGCTACCGCCAGGTCTATGAGCTCGTCGAAGCTTTCGGGTTCGTCCCGTGCAGCGATCTGGTCCTTGATGGGGTCAGACAGAGAGTGTAAAAAGGTACCTTGCAGTGCCGTTTCATTCCATCCGGTCTGGGCCGCGAGAATACGGAACTCGAGGGCATACTCCGCGACAGGCCGACTGCCCTGGCGTAGTCCGAGAAGCCTCTTTACGGCGTTCGGCTCCCGCAGCGGTCGATTGAAGATCTTCAGGAACTCCTTTAACAAGGTATCAAATGAAGCAGTCTCAACGTCATGGAATTGAAAATAAGAATTGGCCCAACGAAGTGCATCACCCTTTAATTGGTTAATGAAATATGTGATCTTAGCTGAGTCAGATGAATAGAGCTGAGGGGCTCCCTTGAAGGCAAGCTTACATTGTAGGATGAATCCTCCACACAGGCTGGGGTCTCCGGAAAAATATTCAGAGGGTTTAATTATTACCTGTTGGTTTGTTGGTGTGACTTCTGGAATTGGGTTGGAGGAGTTGTTTACAGGAGAAGTACTAGATTCTGTAGAAGAAGGAGAAGATCTTTGGTTTAGAGAAAAAAAACATACCTTCAAGTTCTCTTAGATTCTCCTGGATTTCTTGCTGTTGGGTTAGCACTTGTTGAAGTATCTCTTCTATTCTGGTAATTTGTTCCATCTGTGAAGAGGACGAGGTCTGCTCGTCTCTGGTCTCGTTCTGGGTCTGTTTTGGCTGGAGCATTTCTGTAATGACTAGCGGAACCCAGATTGGTACAAGACCAGAACGAAGCAGACTCAGATCTTAGAAAAGAGGAAACAGTGTTTATTATATACAGTGTAGGGGGTTTGTATACATATATGGCAGTCCTCCGGCGATCAGATGTAGGCGTCGGGAACCAGGGTAGGGCGGAATGTACAAGCAGGTCTGGCTGGAGAAAACAGGACGACAGGACTGGCAACAGAATCCGCTCGACGAGTCTGGCAGATGAGTGGCTCGACAGGTCTGGCAGGCAGGTAGTTGATGAGGCAACAAGGATGGAGTCAGACAGGCAGGGTACTGCGGGCATAAAGAACAAGATGAGAGTATGTCGTATACTCACACGTTTAGGCTGGAGGCATAAATACCAATAAAGCTCAATGCTCCAGCAATGAGTCACACAGGACTGCAGCCTTAAGTAGAGGTGTTCCTCATCAGGTGGATGGCCGTCAGCTGGTGTTAATTAACGGCCATCTTGGAGGAAGGCTGCAGACATTGGGACTCCTACAAAAATGAACTCTAAAATGAACAGGCAGCCAGTGGAGTGAAGCCAGAGTGGGGGTGACGTGCTCCCTTTTTTGAACTCCAGTTAGAAGCCGAGCAGCAGCGTTCTGGACCAACTGGAGGCGTCTGAGGGAGGACTGGGTGACTCCAAGGTAAAGAGCGTTACAGTAATCCAGCCGAGAGGTGACGAAGGCATGGATTACTGTTTCCAGCTGCTGTTTTGTAAGGATGGTCTTTACCTTAGCCAGCTGTCTGAGGTGATAAAAACTGGTCTTGACCACCGCTCCAATCTGGGACTCTAATTTAAAATCACTGTCCATTTTAAAACCCAAGTTAGAAATAGTTTTCTTTACATGTGGTGCCAGAGGGCCCAGATCAACAGGGCAAGGTTCACAAGAGCCACTAGGACCAAACACCATCACTTCTGTTTTCTTTTCATTGAAATTTAAGAAGTTTAAAGACATCCAGGCTTTGATGTCTTCAAGACACAACAGAAGTGGCCTAATTGAGGGGGCATCTTTCTTTTTAAGTGGCATATAGATCTGACTGTCGTCAGCGTAACAATGAAAAAAGATCCCATGCTTTCTAAGGATTGATCCCAATGGAAGCAGGTAAAGGGAGAAAAGCAGGGGACCTAAAATAGAGCCCTGTGGAACCCCAAAACACAGAGGAGCAGTGGAGGATTCAGACCCAGCTATGTTGACAGACAAGCCAGGTTTCTTGTATGAAAATCAGATGCGGTTTCACTATTATATCTGAAATGTTTTTTTTTTTATTCTAATCCATTACTAAGTAGACTTCTAGCATTCCATTGAAGTATGGTTAACATGAGGAGGAAAGGCCACTGCTGCATGATTGAGTTTGAGAAGATTGTATCTCATTTATTTTTGCTTTGATTGATTCCCAGCTGACATGTTTGTAGTCTAGATATTTTTGAGCTGCCTTTACTATTATTTGTATTTTTTCCGTTTTTCTTTGTGTTTGAGCAGTACAATTCACAACCTCAACCATGAACAACACAAAATCCTCCTTGTTCATGATTAAAGTGTCTTCTTTTACTTTGCATCCTTCTGTAACATGCAATTCTACTTTTCCTGTTTCCGGTATGTTCTTTGGATAAGTAATTGGTTTCACAGGGACTTTCTTTATGCTTCAGCATATGTGATACCTGTAGTGACTTTAATTTTTTGGATTTCCCCAGCTCTTTTACTAGCTTCACATCCCCTAAATCCTGAGCTATGTTCACCTCTACAATTACAGCATTTCAGTGGCACTCCTTCACATTTCCCATATTCGTGGTCCCCAGCACATCTCCCACACTTCTGTTTTCCTTTGCATACTGCAGCTATATGTCCATATTTCTGACATTTAAAACATCGTAATGGTGGAGGGATAAATGGTCGGACATTGTAACTGATATAACCCACAAACACCTTGTCCAGCAGACTTTTTTCTTCCAATTTCAACATTATGGAAAAGCTATCACTTTTTTCTCCATTTTTATTTCTTGTCAGTCGCTTGGCTTCTACTACTCTCCCTCCTGAGACATTAGATTTAATCTCCTCAATTGTCACCGTAGGATGCATACTGGTAATAACGCCACAAACATATTTTTTGTCATCAATTAGTTTCCCACTCACATTTTCACCTAGGATTGTTCTTACATGTAGTGCTCTGTCTTTTTGTTTAACATCATTACATATGATCAATACAGATCCATCTCTAAGCACTTTTACAAGTTTCACTTTTCCAATTAGCGAGTTGATTTCTTTAGTAAGCTTAATCGGGTTTAACATACCAAATGACATTCCTTCTTTAACAAACTTTAAGATGATTTTAAACTCTATCACCTTCACTATTTCATCTTCAGCTTCTGAAACTGACGACTCTACGTGATGTTTTGCTTTGTTCCGTTCTATGTCATATAAGCTTCGCCCTTTAAGGCCTTCGCTTTAGTGGGTTTATCCCGTTATGCAGAGCATAAGCACTGAAAAAAATTAGTCCACGCCCACCTGCTGTGTGGGCCCTACCCGGTCCGTATAAATTACGTTAAGAGCGGGAAATCGGCTCCCATTTTTTCTTCAGCGAGCTAATATAGCACTGTCAGAAGAACAAAGAAGATAAGTTGTGTAAATGACCAACCTTGTGAAGGATGCTGGGCCCGGCAGTCGACCTCCGGTCGTCCGGTGAGTTCTCCTCCCCGAGGAGAAGATGACAGCAGTCTTATTCCAAGGTAAGCGTCGTGGAACATTTCCCAGTGACAGGTCACTACACGCTGGACAACGCCATCTTGTGTTTTTTCCTCTTATCGCCGACCCTCGGGGCGAACCGGATGGTTCCTCCGGGGCAAGGTGTGCTCAGCTGCAGCCCCCGCTGCTCATTCCCTCCCGGGAAGCGTAGTGTAGGTGGAGGGGGGCTGAGTGAATGCTCACCCCATCCCACCTCGTTTCGCATCGGCGATCACACCGCTCCCGGCCGACAGCGCCCTCAGGGGTTGCCCGGCGGAACCCGGGAGGAGGCTGACATGAAGGGACCCCCTTTTTCTACGTCCCTCGCCTTTTCCCGCCAGTTCGGATGATCGGCGGAAAGGTTATTTTTCACTGACGTGCTTTTCCAGGCAGCCGCAGTTAGCAACAACGTGCGCTGCTAGCATATAGCATGTCCAAGGGACTGAAGGCCGCAGACCTGCCTTGGAGACAAAGAACTCCTTCTGTAAGGCAACTGACGCTATTCCTCGGTTCCCTCCCCTGGAGCCAAGCCTCGCGGAAGCTTCCGGAGCGAAGCTGTCCAGGTCGGAGCAGCGTCCCGTCCCTCCGGAGGAACCAGACGGCGACCAAAGCTCTCCAATCGAGCCCACCGACGTGTTTTCAGGCAACCGCAGTTAGCAACAACATGCGCTGCTAGCATTTAGCATGTCGAAAAGGCTGAGACCTCAGACCTGCCGGAGGAGACTAAGAGCTCCCTGTGTAGATCGGCAGACGCCATCCTCAACATGTGCGCCGCTCCCTCGGGTTGCCTGTCGAGGATTGTAGCATGGATGACGGTAATCCAACGTTCCATCTGGCTCCGTCACTCTCCATTGCTGCCGGAAAAGCTGCACAAAGACCGGATGGAGGGCCCCATCTCATCGGACGCGCTGTTCGGAAGCAGCTTGACGTCCATGCTGACGAATTCGAAGCAGTCGGAGGAGACGTCGGAAGCTGTACGCCATCTCATCTAGCCGCGCGGCTCAGTCCGTCCTCCAGCCCGCTGGAGAGATCGTCAAAAGCAGAGGCAGAAACATCGACGCTCCACGGCAGCAGCAGCTTCGTCTCGCCCAGCTCCACCACCAGCCCCGCCCGCCAGAGACCACCCCTCCTCAGTCCGGCAGCCTGCACTTCAGCGTTTTCCCCAGAGATCGCCTGCAGACGGCGCTCGGAGCAAACAAACCGCAGAGCTCACGGGGGAGAAGTTTTAAGAAATGACGGTCTGCAGAGGATGTGTGTATAAATGACACAGGAATTGAATAAATGATTTTTCAAAGATCAAAACGCCTGTTTTTAGCCAGTCTGTAAGCTCGGATGAGCTCACAGCCGCTACACACACACCCTCCACTCATAAAGAGCCGGTGTCCTTAATAAAGGTTTTTTAAATCCACCGCCGCTCCCTCACATGCCCAGACGCTCACGTGACACCACGGTAAGCGAAATAACTTGTTGTCAATCAGACCCGCACGATCACCTCCCAACGGTGTTGACGCGCTCCCGAGCGAGACAAGCAGCCTCCATCCAACGGCACTGTGTCGATGATGCACGCACAGCTGCCCGGCGCTCACCGGCCCACATCGGGATAAATGTGGGACCGCAGGCCGGGTCCGGTGGAGGTCCCTGCTCTCAGCGAAAACAACACACGCCTCTCCTGTATGAACGCGAGTGGCCGTCATCCACCGCGTCCCAGCGATCAGCAGCTCACGGCGGCATAAGCGTGAGACAGCTGAATGAATCCAATGACGGGCCCCGCCCTCAGCGAGAGCGGCGCGCGTCCCTCCAGAGGAAACGTGCGCTCCCGCGAGGCTCACAACCTTCACTTCATCAGCTGACACACGCCTCGCCTCAGCACACACCGCCCCGCCCGGACATGAAGGTTGGTCCGCGATCCAGTCACAGCGCGCGGGCGCGCGCAGAACAGCCCTTTCGAGAAAGCCTCGCCTTGGGTCACGCGGAAAACATTTCCGCGACGCATGACGGCGGTCGAGGCGGAGGTTTGGATGACATCCGTTCAAA